TACATCATTAATGTTGGCTTACTGGCTGTTGTGGTGAGCTCTGGTACAGTCATGCTTTTCCTTGTGGTGAAGGAGATCCGCAATCGACCCGATTGGAAGAAGATTCATGTGGCTTTTCTCAGTATCTGGGGTCTCACTTGTCTGTTTGGCACAACATGGGGCCTTGGCTTCCTCGATTTTGGCCCTCTCTCGGAGGCCACCCTCTTCCTCTTCTGTATTATCAATTCTTTACAAGGTAAGCTTTTTCTTGAATGCTCTATCACAAAATACACAAGGTCAGATAATAGCTATTGTGTCAATGTAAGTTGAGTTCCTGTGGTGGCATATAAAAATAAAACAGCCCTCGAACTTGTTTCCTTTTGTTATCATTACTTAAAGGAGAACTCCGGCGCAAAATGAACTTTTGGTCTAATAAAACATCGGTACCTAGTAAATCGTTCCCTGAGTTTTGTTTTCATGATAATCAATTGTAAAGAGTTTTATCTCTAAAAACAGTTTAGCTTATAATGCTAGTACTGGGGGCATTGACTAAGTAAGAAGAAATCACTAGTTTATAAGGAACTTACACAGTAACATAATGAGGGTCCATACATGCAAAACGAAACATTGAGAACTTTGTAAGTGTACAGACCGTTTAATAAAAAGATACTTTATGAAGACAGTTCACTTCGAGTATACAGACAGGAGCCATCTTATAAAATAGTCTCGAAGTCAATCCCCGAACGCCGTTCATAGAGCACAGACGTTCGTGGTTTGACTTGTCATGACTGTTTTCCAAGATGGCTCATGTCTGTATACACGAAGTGAACTGTCTTCATAAAGTATCTTCTTATTAAATGGCCTGTACACTTACAAAGTTCTCAATGCTTTGTTTTGCATGTATGGACCCTCATTATGTTACTGTGTAAGTTCCTTGTTAGTGGTATAAATTATTGATTTCTTTTTACTTAGTCAATACCCCCATTACTAGTGTTATACGCTAAACAGTTTTTAGAGATAAAACTCTTTACATTCGATTAGGATGAAAACAAATCTCAGGGAACGATTGACTAGGTACCGATGTTTTATTAGACTAAAGGTTCATTTTGCACCGGAGTTTTCCTTTAAGAAATCTTGCTTTTAACTCATTGGCTTCCATTCTAACTCTAGTTTAATATTCAACTCCCATGTATCCTTACAGGATTTTTTCTAATGCTGCGATACTATTCTCTTGAGCGGATAAAAAAGAAAGATGACTCCAGTTCGGATGGGAGCAGTAGTGGATCTTCAAAACAGCATATGCTACAACATACTCATGAAAATAGTTAAAATTTTGATGATGCTCAAACTGTTTTTTTTTTTTTTTATTGCCAAATTTATCTCTTTTTTTTTTCTCCAGAGTTTTATCATGAAACATTATCCACAAAGGGCATTTAAAGATACTCTCTTATCCTGCTGGTCAGGAAATTGAAAGTTCCTCAGATGACATTGAGTCATAGAGAATTGGGTAATTGAGCATAAATGCTTCACCTGTCATAAGCTGTATTTCTGTATTCATATTGTTAGTATAAGTATGATAGCTTGTTTCATTTCCTCAAGCGAACCTTGCACTTTAGCTTTTTTTTTTTATACTGTCTAAAACGGCTGTATTCATTGTGATAGCAAATACCTTTTAGTAATACATAAAAAATAATATAATTTTGTCATCTCTCTGAAAAAAGTAGTGAGTTGTGTGAGATGAGTTAGAGTGTTTGTGCAAGTGTAAACTGCCAAAAAAGTGCATTCCTCAATTGTGTGTTTTTTTAGAATCAAGGTAAAATAACTTGGCAAACTTTGTTTAAGACATAAGTTGCACTTTTGTTTATTCTTCAGAGTCTTGTAATGAAGCTAAGTAAAGCACAAACTTTACTTTTTAGTTTGTATTGTTTTATGTATTTGTGACTTTTTATATGCATTTCTGTTGGAATATAATATGTAATACATAATATCCAAATTATTGTTGTTTGGTGGTTTTTCTTTATAAATTATAACAGAATTTTTATTTTTGGGTGAACTAGCCATTTGATAAAAGTAAGCGATTATTAAAAAGGTTCTTTATAACAACTTTATATACAGGTCCTTCTATTATGATAAAGTTCATTATTTTCCATAATGTAATGATAAAAAATAAACTTTCATATATTTTAGATTCATTGCACACCAACTGAAATATTTCAGGTCTTTTATTGTTTTAATACTGATTATTTTGGCATAGCCTACAGCTCATGAAAACCCCAAATTCCTATCTCAAAAAATTTGCATATCATGAAAAGGTTCTCTAAATGCACTATTAATCATCTGAATCAACTAATTAGCTCTAAACACCTGCAAAAGATTCCTGAGGCTTTTAAAAATTCCCAGCCTGTTTCATTACTCAAAACCACAATCATGGGTAAGACTGCCGACCTGACTGCTGTCCAGAAGGCCATCATTGACACCCTCAAGCAAGAGGGTAAGACACAGAAAGAAATTTCTGAACAAATAGGCTGTTCCTAGAGTGCTGTATCAAGGCACCTCAGTGAGAAGGAAAAAGTGTGGCAAAAAACGCTGCACAACGAGAAGAGGTGACCGGACCCTGAGGAAGATTGTGGAGAAGGGCCGATTCCAGACCTTGGGGGACCTGCGGAAACAGTGTACTGAGTCTGGAGTAGAAACATCCAGAGCCACCATGCACAGGCGTGTGCAGGAAATGGGCTACAGGTGCCGCATTCCCCAAGCCACTTTTGAACCAGAAACAGCGGCAGAAGCGCCTGACCTGGGCTACAGAGAAGCAGCACTGGACTGTAAATCCATTTTTAATTGGATAGGGACTCTTTGTGAAAAACATATTTTTATTCATATCACAGATTATTGGTATTTGGATCTGGGCTTTGCTGTGGGTTTTGATGTGTTCCAGATCACTTTGGTTTGGATGACAAACCAATATCCATGACCCAAAGCTTTTGTGGATTTCATCATTTTCCATCTGTAGATTTCTGTATCTCCATTATTCATATCATTATCAGCCTTATCAGTCACCTTAAAATATACCTGGATGGATCCACAACCACATTTTACAACAATCTGAAATCATTTTTATTTGCAAGGTAAGTTGCATTTACAAATAATTTGCCTTGCTGCAAAAACAAGTACATAAGACATTACATAGAATGCACAATCTATATTTAAACAATACAATATGTTCATAGCAATACATGAAAAACAATACAGTCTACCCTTTTGTTTTACTATTTTACTCTTATGTTCTTGAAGGAATAATGGTTCCATTATGACGTCACATTAGAATTGTATTAAACAGTCACTAACACAGAGTCTTTGATCCAGCGTACATTAATTGAAATGTTCTTAAATATTTATTTATTTATTTTTTTTTACACATTTTTGATTATCTGCTTTAATATTCTCTTGTCTTTAGTAGACTGGGAATGTAACTCAGTGTTACATTCTGAAGTTCAAAATGATGTTACACAATGGGCACTGCGATAAAGTTCCCCTTTGTTCAACTTGATTTTCAGCTGCAACTTCACATGAGTTGCAGCTCCTCCATGGAAAGTTACGTAAAAGTGGTTTTACTGACTTTTTACTAAAAGATTCTTTGAGATTCGAGTAATCACTGACACACATTTGCACTGGATCACTGACATGAATTTACAAGAAATGAGAAGACAAAGAAATTATTGGCTACAATTATCAGAAAAGACCAAATAATATGGGCTACAATTACTAAATGCATGCATTAGGCCTACATGTTACTTAATATGCTAATTATTTATGATATAACTAGTGTAGACATTAATTGCATTTCTAGTGAATGTAGTTCCTTTCATCCTATTGTACATTTTAATCATTTGGATAAAAAGTTAATGTAGCCTATTGACTATTTTATTGGATAGGTTACTACAGTTCAACATTGTCAATGAGTGTCTTTTTGCCCCTGTTATCTAATCTATTGTGGCTATAAATTTTAGAATCTAACTAAAACTGTTTACAGTTTTTAATGTAATGTAATCGAATGATTACTTAAAATAACAATATGGCTACTAGCTATTTAAATTGACACTATTTTTTTCTTCTTCAGAGATAAAAAACAAATAAATGACTCACAAGATTCCACTTTCTTTAGTTCAGTCACTTTGGACATCCCCTTCTTTGTACGATGGAATATCACTTCCCATTCACTTGTCACGCTGAACAGAGATCAGCAAATTATGTAAGACTTATACAGCTTTGCAAAAAAAAAAAAAAAAAAAAAAAAAAAAAAAAACCCTGAGTGCGTGACATCTCTTTTTGCAATTTCGGCAGACAAGAGGAAATTGTTTTCTTTTCTTTTGGTTGGATGAGTCACAATGATGATAGCTATTAGCCTACATTCAGACATGAACAATACTAAAATGTCAATAAGTGTTGAGAGGTTAATAATTAATAGCATAAGTGTGGCAATGTATTTCAACTCCATGTTATTGTGACTATATTGTAGCCTATACGTTTTATGATGTTATTCATGTGGTCACGTGTCAAGGGAAAAAATAAGAGAGACCCGTCTGATGTCAGATGAGCAGTTGTTACTCTTTGTTTAGAGTTTATTAAAATGGCTACATAAACCACAGATGACCTGTTTTAGTTGACCACGACTTTTTACAGTATTTAGCCTATTAGGCTAAGTAGCTGTAGCAGTATACCATATAGCAGTAGCCTATACCAACTAGTATATTAATATATTTATACAACATTAATCCAGATATAGCTAGCTACCCTTGAATTTTTTTTTCATCTTGCGGCAATTTTAAACTCTGTGCAATGCTTAGTAGCCTATCTGCTATTTCTGCTATGATGAAATAGTATAAACTGCTTATAGCCTATAAATAGGCTACAAAAAGAAAAGAAAAGCGTTTTTTCACGATTACGTGACTGTATGAATTTGCAGGGGATTTCTTTGAACTCAGCCAATAAGACACGACATAAACAAGCGACGTCATGAGCACGCGATCTGGGGCCGGGCTCTTGATTCCTTTCGTTTTCTTAAGACTATAGATCTTTTCTATCCATGACCGCAAATGACAGCAAATTAATCTAGTCGAGCAGTCTCAGTCTCCTCTGCTTTTCAGCCGAGTCCAGAGGAATGGCTCAGGTCAGTCATCTGCAGATGATTGATGAGAAGGACTTGCGAGACGTAGTTTTGGTCAGAACGAGTACAGGTGCGTGTTTGCGAGGATGTTTCGGAAGTACAGGACGCAAAGTGGCTGTGAAGTTAATCGAAGATAGGTAAAGTACATGTTCAGTCATCATACCGGTGGCAGATCATTTTAGCACGTTTATTTGTTGTGCTTTGCAAACCAAATATAGGCCTATTTTATAGCCCATACATAAAAAAAGGTTTATGAAAATGTATGATTTAAGTCGTAAATTAAGAGTTACTAATACAGCATTAATATGAATTAATATTAATAATACATTTTAATATTAAAACAAAATGCTATTAAATATTGCTATGCTTTGTAGAGCAGCTTACAGGGTATTTCCAAGAAATGGAAAACAAAAGTTAAAGCTCTCTCTCTCTCTCTCTTCTCTCTCTCTCTCTCTCTCTCTGTGTGTGTGTGTGTGTGTGTGTGTGTGGTATCAGTAAGTGGATTGACAGATTAAAGAAAGTAGGAATGTTGGGCCAGGTGTGCGCTGAGCAAGTACTGGTCCCGTTGGGTGTGTACACAAGTTCAGCTCACTCTCTAGTGGGGTTGGTGTGGGACTGGATGGCTGGAGGATCTCTAGATTCCACACTGCACGATGTAAGCACTTACTTAAACACTGCACTTCATTTAAAAGATCATTTTACTCACAGACAGGTGTGTATAAAAATACCTGATGAGTCTGTTTTCTAAAGCAGGAAGTGTGAACATTTTATTTATTTATTTTTTTAATTGTGGAGGTGTGTTCATGTTCCTGACAGTGAGAGAGTGGAAATCCCCTGGGCAGGGAACAGTCTAATGATGTAACTGTAGCCTACTAAAAATAGTGCCAACAAATAGAAGTTTTGTAGAGCCATAGCATTCCAATAGAATATATTTGCATTTTTAGTAGCTGTTGCATCATCATCAGTGATATAATTCTAATTGTTAGGAAATGTCTTATTTCATAAAACTGCAAGTGATACATTTTTTTTTTGTGCTTTCTTAAGACAAATCTGTACCCAGAGCTTTCAATGGTTCTTTGTCTTCGGATCATGTTGGATGTTGCTGAAGGTTTAGCTCACATCCATGCCATTCCGCTGCCTCATGGAGCCCTGAAAGCTACCAACGTTCTTCTCGACCAACAGTACAATGCAAAAGTATTGCCAGTTTCTTAAAATAGACTATTTTTTGTGCATATGCTTTACCATTTTTCTTACTTTTATAATATGTGTGTCATTGTAGTTGTGTGACTGGGGTCAAGAGATAGACATGCACTTGACCACTTCTAATGGCCTTGGGCCATGTGTCAGAGATCTGGCCTATATGTCGCCGGAAGTCTTACAAGGTACTGTTCCTTCTGTGGAGGCGGACATATATAGGTGAGGTGCATTATTTTGAAATTCTAGAGTGTTTCAGCTGTATATTAGAGTTGAATTGTTGTGTTAATCTAAGCGTTGTAATGATTCCATAGTTTTGGGGTTCTGCTGTGGGAAACACTGAATAGAAAGCGTCCATGTGAAGGTATGTTGTCATCTCTTCAATGCATCTTGTCTTATTCTGGGAGAAGGATTTTTCAGTCATTCATTGACCTGAAACATTTCCTTTAAATATGTTTTCACACAGGTATTGATCAGCTTCAGATCAAATTAGAGCTTGGTTTAGGGGTTGACCTTCTGCCCCTAATGACTCCTCAAAACCATGCTCTTGCTCAGCTCATCATTAGATGCTTGAAGAGTGAACCTCAAAAACGCCCATCGGCTGAGGGTTAGTTACAGCTTTTCTTACAGAGCTTAGAGGTGTTATTTAAAATTTGCTCTTCACTTATTATTTTCTGCTCATACAGAGTGTGCAGTGGTTCTAAGGACAGCTTTGGCAGCATTTGATCCTCAGACTTTCATTGAAGATGTTCTTCATCTGAAAAAATGCAAGGTACTTGTTTAATAATTAATGAGCTTAATAATAGTTCCAAAATTATCATGGGGTGGTGATGGCACAGTGGATGGGGTGGTGATGGTGCTGTGGATAAGACACATGCCTTTGGTGTGAGAGACCCGGGTTCGTATCCACTGTGATACACCAATGTGTCCCTGAGCAAGACACTTAACCCCTAGTTGCTCCAGAGGCGTGCAACCTCTGACATATAGCAGTTGCAAGTCGCTTTGAATAAAAAGCGTCAGCTAAATAAATGTACATGTAAATGTAAATACTTTTATATAGCGGGGTCCAAAAAATCCACATTACAAACAGAGATTTTTTTTCATTGTAGTCTGGAAATAAGTTTAATGTCGGCATGAGACTGAGATCTGCTTTTCTTCCCTATTGTGATGTATAACCTAGTAAAACAGCTTTTCAAACAATTCAAAATAGTGGGGCACGAATTGATTTTGTCGTTCAGGAATTGATTTGATGTTTGCTGCTAATTTACTGTAAGATGTCAACAAGATTCAACAAGACATTTTCACCTGGCTGCTATATCCAATGTTTTGATATCTTATGGTATGTATGCAAATTAGCACATATGTAGTTAGATTATGCACCATTTCCCCATGTTAACAGACAATTTCAAAAAAATTGTAATACATTTTTTTGTTTGTCTTGATGTAAGTAATCAACTCAGTAGTTTTAATGATGATATCTAAAGGTTCAAATTTTTATTCTATTCACGTGAGAAAAATAGGCGCATGAAAGGCTATTTGGGTCTTTTTCATACTTTCCCCTAATGGGATTGTTCGGGGCTTTTTTTCCTTACTCAAGACATATTGAGGATACAAAATCAGTTGAGTTTGCTTCTGTTGCAATTTGTTCTAGGTTGACCCCTATTTTGGCTTAAAATAAATGGACTGTGAAGCAATATGAGTACAAACTGAATACTAAAACAGTCTTAAAATGTCTAATCAACTTTCACCCAGTTGTTATGCAGAAGTATTCAGTGATGAGTATTTATACTAGTAGTCTGAGATTTGTGAACCACACTTCGTGTTGAATATTATATTGTTTAAATTCAAATTTATTTTAATACATATGTGAAGAATTTGACCGATTGTATATGTATGAGGTGGTAATGATTATTTGTGGCCTGTGTATCTCTCTGTTTCTCCAGGAGAGGAGGCTACTGAGCTGTAAAATACGCTCATCCTGGGAGTTGCCTATTGAACTACATAACCTAGAAGTAAGACAAAGTTTTACTTGATTTGGTGTAGAACTATTCTCTCTTTTTTAAATTAGAATGTGGGATTGTTGAGCAGGTACTCAGTCCAATGCTATATTTTGTATTGTGCGTGTTCATTATAAATTATGTGCAAATATAGCTACAGCAATGGCCAAATCACAGGATTTTAGAAAAAACAGTGGTCCAAAAACTTGCTTGGGGTGTTAGGTGCCCCTTGAAAAAAAAAAAAAAAAAACTTTATCTATTTGTGCATTTTAAGATGTCTGAAGGGCAAAGATTTAACAACAATTGCTTTAAAACCATGTTAGTATTTCTAATTTTTTAACGTGTTAATGAAAAAAGAAAACGCATGAAAAGGTTAATGTAAAATAGCATTTGGGTTTGAAATGGCAAAATATGAATAAATAAATCTTTAATTTGATTGGGCATCTGTCATTTTGACAATGACTTGCGGTGTCACACTGCTGATCAGCATCAATGAGGAGCCCGTTCTCATCCCAAGGCGTCATATAGTGACGCTTTTGACAATGCGTATACATCCAACGCACATGGCACCCTTTATCATCAAGACGAAGATATATATAGGCCAGAAGGCGCCTCCTAGTGGTCTAACCCTACCCCAGACTTAAACCTACCCATAACCGATAGCCATAAGCGTGTTATATTGACGCTAAAGGGTGCCATGTGCGTTGGATGTATACGCATTGTCAAAAGCATCACTATATGACGCCCTAGGGTGAGAATGCGTTGTAATGAGAAAGTTGGTTATCTTTGTGTTGTAGAACATTTTTGCCGCACCTCTTGTACAGTTATTGTTCGGCAGTTATTTAATGACTTTAATTATACACCTCATCTCAATAGTTGGTACGGCCATGCTTTTGACTGTTGAATGCCTTTTACCACCAACAGGACAATAGTTGCAGTGGTTCCACAAAAAAATGGACCTCCAAAGTGATTCCACAGAATGAATCTCTGCCAGTATCTTCACTGAAGGCAAAAGGAAAGTCCTCTCCGCCATTGGCAACAAGAGCTGTTTCTCAGATTGGATGCTTTAGGGGTTAGTGACCACTCATTTAAAAGTATTTTGGATACAATTTCTCACTTTATTAGTGTAAAGTGTCTTATAATTACATTTTCCCTGCTCATGTCTTCATAGATACTGGAAAAAGTTCAATCCAGTCCAGTAACTCCTGCAGTAATCGTGATCTCAATCAGATTAATCGGCGTTGTGGAATTTCCCATAGACAAAGTCCCACATCTTTAAGGTCCCCATGTGTTTCCTCTTCAACGCTGTTTCAGAGCACCCCACAACACAACACTGGCAACCAAGGTAAGCAATTAGTTCTGTCTCTAAAATGTCCTAACAGTCATTTTGTTTGAATCTCTCTAATTCCCTCCATTCCTGTCCTGCACATTTCCAACATATGAGTTTGGACCACAAACATAAACATGCCATTGTTGCATACTTTAATCCATCTGGAAAAAGCTCTGCTCTCTGTCAGACTCAGTTGCCTGTTGTATATTAGCTGAATCAATCTGGAGGAGCTTTGTGTACATTTTGTGTACATACTGTTGGCATAACTACCTGGATAGAGCAAATGTATCAGTTTTTGTTTGTGTTGTGCCTTTACATGTGCGCAGTAAGCAGTTCTGTGGGACTGTGCTCGCTCGCTTCCTGAATGACCGCCCCACTAATGCCTTATCTGTGTCCAGTGTGTTTCCTCTCCAGAGGGTTTTTGTTTTTCTCAGAATTAGTCTTGTTTTGTTCATTTAAATGTACAGTGAGTAGTATAGAAGGTTTTGTCGCAGTGAAGTAACTGGTTAAGAGTTAAAAAATACACTAGCATTCAAAAGTTTGGAGTTGGTTTTTAAAAAAAGATAAAACAAAAGACAAAAGATTAAAAATATATTTTTACAAATATTTAAAAATAGGATTTATTCCTGTGATGGCAAAGCTGAATTTTCAGCATTTGATCCTTCAGAAATCATTCTAATATGCTGATTTAATGAAACATTTATTCTTATTATCACAGTTGAAAATTCATTTCGTAATGAGTGGTTACGAAAATTATTGCTGCTTAATATTTTTGCGGAACCTATAATACTTTTTTTTATTTCATGTGTATTTGATGAATTTAAAATATTTTCTTTAATGTTACTTTTTGAATAATGAATGTTTGCTATTATCTTTTTTGATTTGCATTACAGCAGACTTGAACTCTGTTTGCATCATTGAATCCTTATTTTCCTGTTTGTCTTTGTAAAGCTGCTATGAAACAAATCTGTATTATATAGGCACTATATATATAAAAGTGACTTGATTTGCCTGGGAAGTATGTTCATTCTTGCTAAATTTGCAAGATTAATTTAAAAGATTCATGAAAACACTATTGACTATACTCTAATGCTTCCTCTTTCTATAGTTAAATGTGAACTGTCTATGGGAAGGAGCTGTTGCCGGCTTCTGCAAGAGAGACGAGAGGCCATTGTTCGCTGCATGACTGAAGGACGACTCAACAACATTCTTGACGTGTTACGTGCTAGACATGCTCTGACCCGTGAGACATATGAGACCATCATTGCGACCTTGACCCTGACCGCACGTACGCGCTGTTTGCTTGATATCTGTGCATGTCTTGGTGAAAATGTTGCTGTCTTGGTGGCCACAACTTTAGGTTTAGTATCCACTGAAAATACTCAAACCGCCCATAGGTGGCAGTCTGGTTAAATTTGATGAACAATGCCTTTACATTAGTGTTGTATTGCAGTAACTGCAAACAAAACAATTGATATTAGATTTGTTTGTCTGTATAATGTGTCATGAATATGTTGAGATTGTTATTGTGTTCTTATTTAGACAAGTCTGTAAGAGATGACGAGAGGTCAGATCTTATAGAAGGGAATGCTGCCATGCAGTTTTATTCTTTTTAATCAAAAAATATCATCAAATTAACACCCAATGTAAAGGGTATTGATGATCTCATTGTTTCCCAGTTCAGAAACTGAAGGGATTATTCAAATGACTTTGAACATCATTGTGTTCTGATGAATGGGCAATTACAGATTTGAATACATTCCTTTGAAGAGAAAAAAAAAAATCAACAGCGCTAAAGCAGATTATTTTTCTTTTTTGATAAGAAACTTTTGTGAAAGGTAAAGCTATTTCCTTTAATCATTCTTAACAGCTTAATAACTTTCACACTCAGTTCCTGTTAATATTGAAACTGTTGTTTCAGCTTAATATATATTATATTCTTTTGATAGACTCATCAAATATTTGAAGTTTTTTTCTATAACCACATTTATCTTGAGTTTTTGTGTGTACTACACATTTCCAAGGTTGTGTGTTTTTGGTGTTAGACTTAAATTTGTGCATGTTGCACAACAGAAAAACACAGTAGTTTCTGATTGTAGTGTATCTTGCAACAAGAGATTATTTTTTTTAAAACATTTAATAGTATTGGTTGGTGCTCTGTGTATGTAGCACTGAATGTGTAAAGCAAGAAAATGAATAAAGTATTCATGTATGGAAAAACAGATATGGTATAAGAATTATGTTCACACTGTTTTGTGATCTGATTTGTCTTTACCACAGTTTAACAGTATGTGTCCCTTCAGCATTTCACACAAACTCATGTGTTAGATCCACTTCTTGGAGAACAGTTACTTGGTATTCCTCATATCAATACCATGCCACATACTTCCTCACAGACTATCTAATTGCATGGATGGTCTTTACGCTGAAAGGTATGAATGGACCTTGCTATAGGGGCCTTCACAAACATTGCAATATGAGATGTGAAACCTCTTTGATATGAAATGAATGAATGCTACATGCTCATAAAATAAACCACAGGGAGCTTTTGTATGGCTAAGTTGGGTACAACATTTTTTTTTTCACACCGGAGGGCAATTTAAAATGAAGTAGTGAAGGTAAAATGTGATTAAGTAATGGTAACCATTCACAGGACCTACAATAGTTATTCCCTTATCCAAATATGCTTATACATTATAACATATAAATACAATTCAAAAGTTTGGTAAAGGGTGGGCTGTTTTTGTTGTTGTTGTTGCAAGAAATTAATACTTTTATTAAGAAAGTATGCATTAAATTGGTCAAAAGTGACAGCAATTGCATCTAAAATATTAAAATATTTACTTTTATATCCTTTCCTCTGAAGCAAAACCTTATTTCTCACTTTAAAGCAAAGGCATTAAATGTATCTATCAGGTGTGAAACAGCGTCAATCAGAAACCATTTAAACACATACACAAGAAAATATTTCTTTTAAATAGTTCGCTTTTGGCTGCAAGACAGCACCTGTTTGGCTGCAAGTGGGATTGCTGACCAGCTGGGTTGATCTGTCTGATTTGCAACCCACCCACGTGACATCCATTTACCGGTATCACGTGACTTTCTTTAGCAGCTTGCCTGTGTGTGTCTGCTCTCTTGTAGTTAAAGATGCTGCTGTGTCTGCTAATGTCACCAGTTAGACAAAGACGATAAAGAAAGCACACGACCAGGTAAGAACATATTTGTGTTTTTAACTTAAAAAAAGAAGAAGGACTGCACAGGTTATGCTAAATCGGCAAAAAAATAACAATCCCGTTTTAATTCCATTTGACTCTTTTCTCCTAAACGCCCGAACTGAATGCTTTCAAAATGTTCAATGCAAAGCGGAGAGGGTAATATGCGTTCAAATGACGCAGTGGTCGTGTCTCATATTCTGCTCCCTAGAAAAACAGGATGTAGCGTCTCATCTCATCGATTATTATTAAATGCAACTGTTCGTTACGTTCATTCAAGACATTCACCATTATGACATTTACTTTCTGAACAAGTGATTTACAAGTGCTGTATTAATTAGCCCACCACTCAAATCTTACACACAGCACAGAGTCAGACTGCATTAACAGCGTTTAAAACGCTTGTAGGCTATGGTTGTTTTGTTAAACAGCTGATTTGCCTGAGGGGGGATAAACTCAACGCTAAAGTCTCGTAATGCAGTTTCAGAAACTGTATTTATTTAGAGTGTTAGCTGATATGTTATGTAATATCTTATTTTGTATAGAGCCCAGTCTTTCTTTTCTTTAACGCGACACTGAAGTGCGTCTTAACAAAGAGGGTTGCCAAATAGTAACTTGTTTTGATCGCAGGGTGAAGTTGTTGTTGTTTTTACGTGATTTTTAAAACCATCTTTTGTGCTGCCAAAATTAGGAATTTCTTGAGAATACTGTTTAAATGAAAAGTTATTATGATAATTACTGGTTTCTAGAAAAAAAGTATAAAAAATAAAAAACCCGACTGAAATAACGCTAAACCAGCCCAAAGGCTGGTTGTCTGGTCTTTGCTGGGTTAAGCTGGACTGCCAGCCTGGTCAAGTTGGTTTTAGCTGGTCTCCCATCTTGATCATATAAGACCAGCCTGGTCAGCTGAAAAAAAGTGTCCAAAACCAGGTTGGTTGGCTGTTTTTTCAGCAGGGTATGCCTACTACTTAAAAAAATGCTTAAAATGAATTAACAAACAACGTGGAATTTATTTGAAATATTTAATTAGACATGAATGACAATGAGACTGTTAGGGATAGACATACAGAAGGCTACTGCAGTCCGTTTTTCTGAGCGTCTTTCCAAAACATTTTCCGAAAGACATAGCCTATCTACAACACATATTCAAACACACACTTACAGTATTTATACTTCTATTTAAATATTTACTTTTGAGGTTTAAACATTATCTTGTGCTAATCAGTCTGTATCAAACAGATAAGTGCACATTAAGGAGAAAACATCAAGAGCATCAATCAAAAGCAAGACAGGTTTCCACAACAAGGCCCCTCGGCTCATTCAAAGCAAATCTAAAATTATGTCATTGAGTTTCCAAGACTACGACAGTGGACTGCCCTTTACCACTGTAAACTGATGTGTCATGAGTGCAGATGTTTTTGTGAATTTTCCAGTTCTGGGAAACCTCTTCTAGGATGGGAAACAAGCCTCAGGGAAGGAAAACTCTCTGGGGAGAGTTTGGGAAAAATTGAATCAGTGCTTGTTTATCAATTGCATCCTACCATTACATATTAATTAAAAAATATGCCCTCAGATTTAAAGACAAGCAAGAGTGGACTGTTGGTTTTTGAACACACTTAGTGTCATGACCGTTTTACAAAGATAAATGTTGATGTACGTGGTTCAAGCCAAATAATCAGAGGAATGTGCTATCAGTTCTTCACAGTAGGAGAGGTGAAAGCAGCGGACATCTTGTGCTCAATCATTTATAGAGGGTCAACAAACAGTCAGGACTAAACGTGTGATTTTTCCCTCATTTAGAAACCCATATAGACCCTGATTAAACTTAAACGTTAACATTTACATATCATGATCATTTTCAGCTTCTGATTGGGAGATGGATTGTGAAATGTTTGAGGGAAGAAATACTTTCTTGTTTACGTGATATTAGTGATGCAATCTTCACACTAGCTTTTCGTCAATTAGGTACAGTACATTTTGCACATATGTAATATACTTATCACAATGACCTATGCTGACTTCACACCAACACTAGACTTTAGAGACCGGATGTGACTTTTTAATTATGTGTGGGTTATTGCACAAAGCCCATTGCAATTATTTTATTTATAGTATTTGTATTAAAAAAGGCCTTTATTTGTATATTTTCAGTTTATTTCAGTTGAAGTTTTAGTGATTTTATCATGTGCTTTTGTCATTTTTATTAGTTTTGTAATATTTAATATTGTGTCATCATTTCATTAGTATTTTAATATTATTTAATATTACACTTCTCCATTGACTTTCATTGTATGGACAGAAAAACATTGTAAGACTTTTTTTTCTTTTTAAATATCTTCTTTTGTGTTCCACAGCAGGAAGTCATGCAGGTTTGGAATGACATTTGGGTAAACAGAATTCCTGTAACTTGTTTCTGGTTCGTCTTCTCTATCAAATTAGATAAGGCCGACGAGGGCCGCTCCTATCTCCGCGCATGTACGTCTGTGGAAGAGCATGGAGGACAACACCGAATCTAAAAACCTGAACGGCCAGTCTGAGGGTCCGGCAGCCCTTTCAAAACCCAAAGAGAGCATGCAGCTCAAAAAGGAAATCTCTCTCTTGAACGGCATCAGCCTCATCGTGGGGAACATGATTGGCTCAGGCATATTTGTGTCGCCAAAGGGCGTTCTCATCTACAGTGCCTCCTACGGACTGTCTCTAGTTATCTGGACCATCGGTGGCATCTTCTCAGTGGTAGGTGCTCTCTGTTATGCCGAGTTAGGCACAACAATCACCAAATCTGGCGCTAGCTATGCCTACATCCTGGAGTCTTTTGGAGGCTTCATAGCGTTCATACGTCTGTGGACATCGCTGCTCATCATCGAACCCACGAGTCAGGCTGTCATCGCCATCACCTTTGCCAACTACTTGGTTCAGCCGCTCTTCCCCAGCTGCGAGCCGCCATATTCTGCTTCTCGACTTATTGCTGCAGCCTGTATCTGTGAGTAAGGTGTACACACCGTACTGTTGCTCTCCACCCTTGTTTTTCACATTCTTTAACTTAGTTCTCTCTTCCTCCCTCTCTGTTTTCTCACCCTGAGATTTAATGAGCTGCTGAGACCCGTTAAGGTCTAACTTTAATAATGTCATCGGGCAGTTAATGAGTAACTTGTTTTTGAGTCCATGGAGCCCGTTCTTCTGGTTGTGTGGTGCCTCTGCTCTTATACATGTTTCACTTGGATACCTTCAGCAGCCTCATTAGACATGCCTTTCCAAATGAAAGAAACATTACGGTTGCCATGAATACCACCAAACTTGTTTGTATCACCCATTAATCCATTCAAGTTGTTATAATAGTTTAATTGCTGCTTTAGGGAGTAACCATTGTTGTCATTCATTTACTTTTCAGTGTAATTATGTCAACATACTTATTCTTTTGCTAACATGCCAACTATTCATGATGTTTCAGGCCTGCTGACCTTTATTAATTCTGCTCATGTCAAGTGGGGTACCAGGGTGCAGGATGTCTTTACTTACGCCAAAGTGCTGGCCCTCATTGTCATTATTATCACTGGGATGGTGAAAATATGCCAAGGTAAAAAAATATACTCTACACAAGCAGCAATCTTATAAAGGTGTTTTTGTAGGCCTACATGTTGTTCTGAGCCAGATGTTGTGAGATTTGAATCAGCTTAAAGGGATAGTAACGAAAGGAAAATTCTTTCATCCTTTTACCCTCATGTCCAAACCTGTATGATTATTTCTTCTGCAGAACATACAAAAAAGATCCTGAAAACTTCTTTGTTTTTGTTTTTCTTCTCTTCCATCCATACAATGGAAATCAGTGGTAATCAAAACTGTTTGCTTACCAGCATTATTCAAAATGCCGTATTTTGTTTTCTGTAGAAGAAATGTGGGCACACAGGTTTGAACAGTAGAGAGTAAATGATGACATAAATATTTTTCTTAGTTTATTTAACAGAGACAGTGCACACTAATAAGCATTACTGTACTCCGACCCTAATTAAACAACTGGACCAGCTAATTAAGGTCTTACTAGGCATACTAGATACTAGTTCCAGGCATGTGTGTTGAGGAAAGTTGGAGCTCAACTCTGCAGGACAGGACTTCAGGACTGAGTTTGGACTTTCATTTGTTGTCCCTGGACAGAATGTTGAAGTCACCCTAAAAACAATATAAAGTCAAAATTATAGAGAGCCGAAGTTACGGCGTCACTCTGTTGGCCAAAACGCGGAAGTGAGTTAGCATTTTAGCACTCGGCCCGGTTCCTTCGCTCTAAAGTCTATGGGTTTTTGCTAAATCGCCTGAAATAAGGTCTGTGGTGAAAAAACCCTCTAAATATTTTAACGTTTTGATCCATGACATAGAACGCACAGTTATAACCAGCTTGTGTTTTTTTTTAAACTTTATTGTGTCTGCTCGTGTTTTTAAAAATCTTTATATAGACTTCAAAATGTATAAATTTTGGATTAACTTGTAAAGATTATCTTGATAGACAAAATGTGTAAGGGTCACAGCTCTTTGTTAAACACAGATCTTATTTTTTGCGATTTTCCAAAAGTCTATGGGGAAAATGCATAGCTTTTCGATCGAGGGAACCCATGCGCCGCTAGCTTCCGAGTTGTCCTACAAAGTGACGTCATCACTTAGGCACTCTATTTTCAAAAAAATCATGTTATAGCCATGCAAAAGCATAACGTACTCGCAGTACTGTATATTTGACATATAAAACTATAAGAGCAGAACCACAATACAAAGTGTTCTCTTTAAGATCCGCTAAACTTTTCAGTACTTTTGTAATGTTTCCCTCACAGGTTTCTCAATGAACTTTAAGGATTCTTTTCAAGGTTCGTCTCGTGATCCAGGAGATATCGCTCTGGCATTGTACTCGGCTCTATTCTCATACTCGGGCTGGGACACTCTTAACTTTGTCACAGAGGAGATTAAGAACCCTGAAAGGTACTTCTTTGAGACAGACTGGACCGTTTGTTCCTGTTCCTTTTGTGAACATACTGCATGAAAAAAATAGGTATTGATAAGATCGCTAACACATCTGTTCATGCGTATCTCAGGAACCTTCCCCTCTCCATTGCGATCTCCATGCCGATCGTTACGATCATCTACATCCTCACCAACGTGGCCTACTACGCTGTGCTTGACATGGGTGCCATCCTTGCCAGTGATGCTGTTGCTGTGGTGAGTTCATAGACCTCTGTGTTGTCAATGTTTGTATTGTCTGTAATCTAACCGCTAATATTTCCCACAGACGTTTGCAAACCACACCCTGGGAGTGATGAGTTGGACCATCCCCCTTGCAGTTGCTTTATCCTGTTACGGCGGTCTTAATGCTTCCATCATTGCTGCATCTAGGTCAGTCTAAAGCTTGATTTACACATTACTTTATAAATTTACACATTAATACTTGACGCATTAATAATAAAAATGAGTTTTCAGTTGAATTTTTGGGGAGTAACTCAATGTTGTAATGCATTACGTTTAAAAGTAACTTTCCCCAACACTGGTCTTATTATTGGGAGATACAAGGGTAAACCATTGGAAAATGCCTAAAGGGGATATAACACACACACAGTTTCTGACAATCTCCTGTTAATCTTGAGTACCTATAGAGTAGTATTGCATCCTTCATATCTCCGAAGAGTCTTTAGTTTTATCAGATTTATAAAAGACAGATGAGCTATTGCGAGTCTTTCGGAAAACAGCTGAGCTCCTGTACAGTACAATACATCATCGCATTATCCCTGGATAACTTTTGATTCACTATACGTTCGTGTTGTTAACATTATATGCAGTTTCGCGCCAATTGCCAAAAAAACACAGACATTTGATGTTACCCACCATCTGAAATTCCGACGGGGGCCGCCATTGGTTAACAAGCCTTCACCTGCTGTTAGCATTCCATTGACTCCCATTCATTTTGGTGTCACTTTGATAGCGAATAACTTTCTGAGGCACCTAAAGACTTAATTTGTCCATTGTTTATTTCTAAAAAAACACAACAATGTATAGAAAGCTCCATTACCTTGTATATTACATTGTGGCCCCATAGAAGCAGTTTTTGTAAAAAATAGGCTAATGATTGCGTCAAAACACGCGACTCTCTGTCGCACAGTAGAGAAATTATAGTACAGGAGGAGAAGCTTGCGTGCAATCGGGGGGACGTGGAGGCATAAAGTCGAGGGAGAAGCCCATTGAGTTGTAAAGTTGCTCATGTACAGCTAATACTCACACTCTCCGGCTGTGCAAGATTCGTAAGGGAATGATTCAGATTCCTCTTGTCACAGCTACTAGAAGATACAACTGTCAGACAGGTTGCTCACGTCACATCTACGTCATCAAGCTCTTGAGCCTGCGCAGTGCACTTGGCAATCAGGAAGTGAGTGCTTCTAATTGACACTTTTCTCCGTTGAAGTCTATAGGCTCACTGTGTCCATTTCTTTTACTGTCTATGGGCCATATCTGCAAGAAACTTTACAAAATACAAATCCTGAAGAAGTGTATTTGGCACAGAACTACTACATATGTCCAACTCATTTTTTGAAACTTTGGCCATGTTTAGCATGAGAATCCAACTCTTTAACAGTGTGAATAAATCAGAATGCATGACATAGCATTAGACATCCCCTTTAACTTGGATCACGTTGTGACGATGTCGTCATAAAATAAGCAACTAAATGTTTATTTATCCTAGATTCAGTCATCTTTCATCTGTAATATAATCCAAGTTCATTATCAACAAAAGTCAAAATATAGTATGAGAATCTACGGTCGTCATAAGATAGCGGCGAAAATGATGACGAGGCGGAAGCCTACCTTTATCTGGATGACGTGCGTCGTTCAAGGAGGTTGAGTTGAGTTCGGCCAGAGTTCGGCGGTCGGAAGCAGACAGTTAAAGGTCGGAAGTCAGCCAGTGAGTACCTGGCGGAGCTCCGCTTGAAGACTCCCGTGATTTATTGGTTTATCCGGGCAGTTAAGAGTGTTACGGCTGCGATCGAATCAATCGCGCTCTGGATTATTAAAAGTGAAGTATTGTATCCTCGTCATGGTGGATTACTTAGCGGATGGTCGTTGAGACGCTAATAGTACGAGACGAGTGAGCAGCAGCAGTTCTAAAATCTGGGCGTAAATGATGGATTAGGAGCCTCCAGCCTGATATTCACGCCGGGGAAATTCCAGTAAAACGTGGACCGGACTATTCAAGTAAGAAGGATTCGTGAGTACACTAGGCCAGTTCTGGATGATTGTTTTGACTTGACTTTTTGACTGTTGACTGTTTTTGAGTGGGGAAATGTATTTATATAGTCTTTCCCTTACTGACTATGTGGATTATTGAACTATATGAACTGAACTGTTGGAATTACTGCTGATTTTGGGACTTGAGCTCATTTTGTTTCTTTTTGTAATCTGTGGTGGAACAAACTTTTGAACAGTTTTTTTGTATTGTTTTTTTTCTTCTTCCTACTCAAACTAAAGAGCCATTTGAGCCATTTGGAACTGTGTTGTTATTTACTAATATACATATTTGAATGAATTATAGTTGTCTGTCATATTGAATGTAGAAGGGGTCTATTTAAGAGTGTTTATGAGTATTATTGTATGGCAATTCTTTTCTCAAATAAGTGAGGGGTTTTGTGAAAGACTAACCAGACCGCACAAGACCTTTGAACGTTTTTGCAAACTGAATTAAATAAATGATGCATTAAAGAATCACACCAAACTAAAAACCAAAGAGTGTGTGAAAACGTTACAACGTGTGCCTTGGTAAACAATCATTAAATATTCAATAAATTATTTATTTCCTCACAAAAGCGGTTTATTCAGCGTAGTGAAGCATCTGCTCCATTAACATCCATAAAAACAGACTTTTGTTTCTTCTGTGTAGTCGTGTGTACCACATCGTTTGCAGTTAAGGTTACAGGTTTGCCTTCAAGTAGCTTTGTTGATTTCTTCACAACATCATGATGAAATTAACTTAAAGGGATTGTTCACTTTGAAATTATTTTTTGATATGTTTTAGCTTACCTCAAGGGCATCCAAGATGTAGGTGTCTTTGTTTCCACAGTATTTTCAATTTTGACATTTTTCAGTCAAACCGTTGTTGTCTATCAGTCTTACACTGGAGGCTAAGGGGGTCCACCAAAGAGCATGCACAGAGAAGTCAAACTTAAACATGATTTATTGACTCGTAAATATAAGTACACATTGATGACCTAAGACACGAAACGAGCTGTTTTTGTGAGAAAACGAACAGTATTTATATCGTTTTTACCTCGTGTAATCACAGTGACGTCCAAGTGATCTGAATCAGTTGTGCAATGTCCAACTGAACCGAACTGAATCAGTTCAATGTTACGCCGGAAGTGATCGCTTGCGTGTGACGTCACTCAATATTTACACTGAGATTTCGGAAGTTTTACCTTTTACTAAACATATTTAGATATACCGAAATCGTCTTCCATTGCAGTTTCCCGTAGATCTAAATATGTTTAGTGAAAGGTAAAACTTGCGAAATCTCTGTATAAACAAAGAGTGACGTGGGCGCGCAAGCGATCATTTCCGGCGCATGCGCAGACCGAAGCGCCCGTGCCGTCAGATCATTTTGTCATGGCTATAATTACAAGAGGTAAAAACGATATAAATACTGTTCGTTTTCTCACACAAACCGCTTGTTTCCTGTCTTAGGCCATCAATGTGTACTTGCATTTACGAGTCATTAAATCATGTTCAATTTTGACTTCTCTGTGCATGCTTTTTGGTTGACCCCCTTTGCCTCCAGTGTATGACTGATAGACAACAACGGTTTGACTGAAAAATGTAAAAAATTGAAAATACTGTGGAACCAAAGACACCTACATCTTGGATGCCCTTGAGGTAAGCTAAAACATATCAAAAATTAATTTCAAAGTGAACTATTCCTTTAAAGGGCTAGTTCACCCAAAAATGAAATTTTCTGTCATCATTTGTTGTATTTTTCCATTCTATGGAAGTTAGTGGGTTCAACTTTTTGGTTACCCATATTCTTCTAATATCTTCTTTTGTGTTCAGCAAAAGAAATAAACTCATACACATCTGGAACAACTTGAGGGTGAGTAAATGATGACAGAATTTTCATTTTTGTGTGAACTGGCCCTTTAAGTCCATTCTGTTTTATAGTCTACTCTAAAGAGACTGATTGGGAGTTGTGTTGGCTTTGAAAATGCTCCTGTACAATTGCAGTGGCTTTATAGTTTTATTGTTCCACTTGAACCTCTGTTTTGTTCTTCAAGTTTATTCTTAATGACTGGAATGGTGTTAACCTTTAGGAGGAGGAACAAAGCTTAGTTCAGCTCCTGCGGTTTTTATAGGAAACTACTCAATTGCTCACACCATCTGGAGGAGCTTTTTGGTAATGACTGTGTCGGGAGCCTGCCACTATTCCATGTGTAAGATAATGAGATCTGAGGACGGAGTGTTGAGAAATTTTGGGAGTGTTGAGAAAACATATTATGCAGTGCTGATGGGAATTCAGATGCTTTGGGAACCCAGTTTCATGTATGATATATTTGCATGAAATCTTTAAATAAAATAGATTTTGCCTTTAGGTCAATGTGCAAACATAATCTGAAGTTAATTGTCATGCAAAATTAAGAGAATTGGCATGCAAAATGCAAACAATGTTTGTTTTTTGTGCAATTATGTATTTGGTTTGCATAATTGGTTTGCTTTCTAAACACTTTGATAAGGTGCACTGCTATTTCACTATCATTATAAGATGACATTATAGTTTTCTGTTTTCATTTAAAAAATTTTTTTTTTAAATGTCTTTTAAAAAAATGTCTTTTATAGTTATTTTAGACATCAAGTTAATCTAAATTTAATTTTTTTTCATTTTTAGGATTTAAAAAAATGTCTATTTTATAGTTATTTTAGACATCAAGTTAATCTAAATTTAAAATGAGAATTGTTGCCTGTGGCAACAAGCTAAAATATATTTTTGTTCATGTTTATTTAAGTTGACTTACTGACCCTTCTTGGGTGCACTTGAGAGGCATTTGATTGAAAGTCTCTTGCTGCTGCAGGTTGTTCTTCGTGGGAGCTCGAGAAGGTCATCTTCCTGATGCTTTGTCCATGATTCATATGCAGAGATTCACACCAGTTCCTGCACTGCTATTTAACGCAAGTACATTTCACTTACACTTTTAACGTCTAATGCATCTTAACATTCTATCTTTATCAGAGAGACTTTTTCTGTGACACGTTTTTTTTTTTTTTGCCCTATTTTTAAGTATTTTAAATGATATACAGTATATTTTATATATAAGTTTTAAAATGTTCTATTACTACATTTAGTTCTTCAGATATAAGTGTTATTATAGCATCTCACAGTCTGGGATGTTTGAGGTTTTCTGTCTCCATCTAGTGGATCAAGTAACTAAGGTTGTGCTTTCTGTGTGCAGTGTGCCATGGCTCTGATCTACCTTGCAGTGGAGGATGTTTTCCAGCTGATTAACTATTACAGCTTCAGTTACTGGTTTTTCGTTGGCCTGTCTATCGCCGGGCAGATCTACCTTCGCTGGAAGGAGCCAGACAGGCCCCGACCACTAAAGGTGAGGCAGTAGAGGCTGTACAGATGGAGAAATTTATTTTAGCACCTTCATAACTTAACAATGAAGTGTGATCTGTCACTCTGCACCCATAAACCTGTTACAAACAATTATAGCCTACTATTATATGCACTATTTTCAAAAGCTTGGGGTTAGGATGATTTTTTTTTAAATACTTTTATTTAGCATTAATACTTTAAATCAGCAAGGGCACGTTAAATTGGTCAAAGGTGACAGTAAAAATAGAGTAATGTTAAAAATAAATGTGGATTTTTTGAACTATCTTTAGAATTAAAGAATCCCAAAAATATATCATGGCTTCCACAAAAATATAGCAAGCAGCGCATCTGTTTTCAACATTGATAATAACAGATGATACTGCAGAACCAAATCAGTGTATTAGAATGATTTCTGAAGGATCATGTGACACTGAAGACTGGAGTAATATGCTGAAAATTCAGCTTTGCCTTCACGGGAATAAATTTAAATATATTCAAATAGAAAACGGCTATTTTGAATTGTATTTCTTTTTTTTTAAGTAAATGCAGCCTTGGTGAGCAATTAGAGACTTCTGTAAAAAAAATATTTAAAAATCTTAAAAATTTAAAATCTTTAAAAATTACCCCAAACTTTTCAATGTAAGTGTAAAAAAACTGGTTAGTTAGGACTGGTTCAGAAACTTAAACGGAATAACTGTCGTTAAAAGAAAGGGAAGATAGAAATCAGGGACATTGAATGTGAAATAAATGTTTTCCTCTCTTCTCTTCCATCAGTTGAGTCTGCTGTATCCCATCATCTTCTGCATGTGTGTTGTGTTCCTAGTGGCTGTGCCACTTTATTCTGACACACTCAACTCACTCATTGGAATTGCTATTGGCCTCTCTGGAGTTCCTGTTTACTTCTTGGGTATCTATCTTCCTGAGTCTAAGCGCCCACCCATCATCACTAAATTACTAAGTAAGTATCACAGACTTTAGCACTAAACCAGGGTTCCTCAATTAATTTTTACCAAGGGCCAAATTCTGCTGACAATACAGAGCCAAGGGCCACCAACCACAATGTTATGACCTCAATGTTTGCTCTGCTATTTTTGTTGTTGTTGTTTTGTTAAAAAGAGTCACAAATCACCACATAGCCCAATTATTCTATTTTTATTTATTTGTATTCATTATTTTCTTTTTCAAACGAGTCTGTTTTATTCAAGAAATTTTGAGCAGATGTTAAAATGGCGTTTGGTATTGTCAGACTTACAGACAGCCACGGTCTGCGTGCATAGCAAACACGTTGGCTTTGCATTGTGGTGGTCAGGCAAAATAAAACAAAATTGTTCAGTCCATTCAGATTTGAATCATCTGTTTTCTGTGTCCACTTTTCTTTTCTTCGCACTTGCCATATTTCCGTTGCGCGCGAATGCCTAGATACTGCGTTTGAATTTTTGCTTACACTGATGTTACCATGACAACCTGGAAAAGAGCGCGGGCCAAACATTTTCCTTTCGCGGGCCGCCTATTGAGGAACCCTGCACTAAACCTTTCATTTGTTGACAAATTCAGAGCCAAAATGACAGTGGCAGTGATTGTATATAATGCTGGCATGAAACGGACGTGGTTACAGTCTTTTGTTCCCTATTGTGACGTATATTCGAGTGAAACGGCTTCTGTGATATTTCTGTGATCTGTCCCGCCCTCGTGCCAAAAAACACAATCAGAAAAAGAGATGTTGTAAGAGGGAGAGGAAGTTATTTTGATTAAATAATACAAGGGCACATAAAAAATAAAATAATGATGTGCACAAATAATTAATTTATAATAAATATACAAATATTATTGATTGGTCAATTTTGATTTCATGGGAACTTTAACATGACATGTCTCCCTTACACAGATGCCATCACCCGTTTCACCCAGTTCACATGCTTTTGTGTGCTCACCGAGATGGACACTGTTGATTAGAACACTCTGACTCACAAACTTCAGGAAGAGGAAACCAATATCTGGAGATAAGGGAAAAAGATCTTCCACACTTTAAGACACAGTTGCACTCCTGATGTCACCGCATTTGGATTTTAATTTTTAAGGTGTCGGTTAAGGTCACGGTGCACTGCAGTATTAGGAATATGACCTTATGAACCATATGGCATGAACACGAAGGCCATGTTAAAGGTTCATAATGGTACCAGCACACACATGATGCAAACACTATCTGTATTCTTGAAATTAGATTATTTAACATTTTCCACCCTGTTTATCTAACATGCTATTATTTTAGAATCTTGTCTTTACAATTTGTCAATTAATTTATACTTTTTAAAGAAAATTTGATTTTATTTTTTTCTTTGTGATTTACTTTAGCACAAATGTAAGTTCTATTATAGAACCTTTTTTGTTTTCGGAGTTGGCCAGAGGTCAGTCCTGTATAATTGCCCACATTCCTTAACTGTTTTTTAGGGGGACGGTGATAGTACACAGTTGAACGTTCATCATGTAATGAAGCATCACATTCACTTGTAGAAGAGGCTAGGTAAGAATAAAGTTGAAGAGTACATCAGATGTGCTGGAAACATTTGTCGACTCAATCTAGGAATGTTTTTTAAAAACATCTGTTGCAAGTTTGGATATTTATTATCTGTATTTTTCAAATTCTGTTAACTTCGAATGGTATCTAAATTCTTTAAATGAATTCATTTTTCTTTATTTACAATACTAAGTATGATGGATTTCTGTAAAATCAGCTTTAAATGTCCTTCAGCCAAAAAAGCAATACTTTATATTTTTACTGGTGAAAATCCCAGTTAACTCAGGATGCAAGTCCAGAAGCAATTTAGGTTTGCCTTGTAGCGTGACACTGAAACCACATTTTCAAACTGTTTGTTATTTGCCTTTATGTACAAGTGTTTCTATTAATTTATTTCAATGATTATTAATAAAACTTTTTTCTACCAGAATTGTTTGAATAAATGTAATAATTCAAGAGATTTTCAGTTTAATTCTGAAGTCTTTATTTTTTTTTTTATACACATCTACATATTTACAGGTATGTTGCTTTTGACCCCTTTTGGTTAAGGGGAACTTACAAACACTACACACATAACTGACAACACAAAGCACCCCACACTTACACAAACTCAAATAATCACCATTTTCTCCCCATACTATCTTCACGTCAAACAATCGCAAAATATTGCAAATAGTAAATCACTCATCTCACTAACGCGCAAGTCAAAGCAACCCACACAAGTACACACACATGGGCTACCACATACATCCACTTTTGACAAAAGAACATACAGCTTCACTCCACACACGTCAGTAAAAATGGCCTCTCATGCTCATTACAACACACGAAGGCTCTCAGTCAGAATCGTTATACTCTTCTTCCTCCTCATCATCATCCTTATCTTTGTCATTCTCCAACTCCTGCATCGTGTCCTGCCGGTAGCATTCCCAGCTCCTCCTGCTATACGAGTGCTCTTCACTCCAGAAACCTGGACCGAAAAATACATTCAATATATTATGATATGCCATTTGATAAAGAAATTTACGCTATTGTTTTTGTTTAAACTTAAGTTTATGCTCCTTTTAATGTCATAATATCTAGGGATAGATGAGCTTTCAGAAATTAAGCAAATATAATATCTTAGGTGTATAACCTCCATATCGCTCCTCTGCATCACTGTCACCCTCACTGCTCTCATCTGGGTAGTCATTTCTCCAGTTGGTTTCAGCGTTCTCATCATCTTCATCTTCATACACCTCTTCCTCCCAGGCCACTACATCAGGGACCTGTGAATTCAAAGAGAAAGACAAATGAGTTTTTGCAAAGATGAATTAGATCTTCAACTAACCAGGCTTAGTTTGAAATAAAATGTAATAAATTAAAGCTGAATAGTAATATTTAAAAAAAAAAAAAAATCAAGAATGGATATAAGAATAAAAGTTAATCTAATATATGGTTAAAAACGAAGATAACACTAAAGCAACACTGCAACGAACCAGCTCTCCCTCTTGAGCGTACGGTCTGACAGACAGAATGTCTTGGATCCAGCCTGGAGTGGCCGTCTCTTGGTAGTACAAGTCGTACACATAATCATCCTCTTTCTCTCGATGTTCAATACCGAGTCCATCTCCTGACACGCTCAGCTTCTCACGAATCATCTTCACCGAGTTACACAGGATTGTCTCCGGGTCAGACACAACAGTCTGAGGAAAAAGAAAATTTCAACTTTTAGTCAATTTAATAAGGGGATAAGCTTCTGCTTGATTACTTTTGTAGACCAGTGTAAACTGTGAATACATATTTCTTCACAAACTAAATCGATAAAACTTAAATGTAGCCAAAACGTATAATCAGTCAGTGAGGTTTAAAAAGTGTTTAAAGGATGAGTTTTCTGTCAACATTGACCCTCAAGTTGTTCTAAATCCAGAAAACCTTCGTTCAACACAAATTAAGATCTTTTTGATAAAATTGGAGCAATTTCTGTCTCTTCATAGACAGTTACGCAACTGACACTTGCTCATAGAGAAATTCATATCCAATCTACTCATCATATAAAGGGATCATGTCTCTTCAGAAAATTTGCACTAAACCACTAGAGTTTTACGATCTCTCTATTAACTTTTTGAAACGTCAAAATGGTAGTTACATAGCCATCAATGGAGAGTACAGAACTGGCTCAGATTTTATTAAAAACATCTAAATTTGTGTTCTGCATTTGGAATTGCAAGAAGGCAATTAAATTATGACAATTTTCTTTTTTTTAGGGTGAACTAACCCTTTTAAAATGGATATTGCATGAAGTTGGCTGAGAAAATGCATAGACTAAGGGTGGATACTAGTTAAGGTTGTTGTTGATTTTATTATTATAAAATAAGTAAATGTTGAAAACAACAATTTCATAAACAAGTAACTGTGTTCAAATGTCAAATACAAATAAAAAGAAAATATTAATAAGAATGAGGGGTTCTTAAACTACATTTGTTTGTGATTTTGTTTGTGAAATTTTCTGGCTTTACCTTGCCAGGCACCTTGACATCACCATCCTCATGCACAATATCAAACACTTGCACTTCTCCCATAGCCAGGTTGTCTCGGTTCTCTGTTTGGCTGTCATCGTTCTCCTCTCCTACTCTTGCAGGCGTAGGCTCTGTTGGCAGTCCGGCCCTGTGGCTGGACAGGATCCGGTACCGTTCCTCTCGCCTGGTGCTCCATTTGACACTGCGCAGATCACCAATGATCCTCTGAGAGCTCCCTTGTGATGGCCGCAAGGCATGATGGGCAAGACGTGGACGTGCCAGAGCTTCACGGACATGTGGCTGAACCGGAGCATCCTAAAAAAAAATTTGATATATATTAACAATAGCCAAAAATATTGAAACGGACAAGAATTATGACTATATAGATTTAACCACACCAATCATTTCCATTTGACAATTATTCTGAACGCAAGTCTAGACTTTAATTTCATTCTTGTAAATCAATACATTAATTTATCCATCTGGATCAATCAATCAAGCCATCCATGGTCTACAATGGGTAACATCAAACATAAACACGTGTAATTTCACTATTTCATACTACAATGTTACCTCATTTTTACAAGCACATTTTTTATATTGTTAAGGAATTATACAGTACAAGGAGACGGTTAAAGAACATCTGCACGAACCTCAAATGTAACAAACAAGGTAAAAAAAGATTTTTGACAAACGCATTTGACAAGTCATGACGTCTTTACGTCATCAATGACCACCAAATCAATATCTCTCAGAGCAACGCTACTAAATTTCGTTTCTCCTGTCCTGACGGCACAGCAGCTGCCGTATAATCATTACCTGTGACACCACGGTGGCTACTAGTTTGAACACAGAGTTCTCTATCTTAGGCTCCTGGGGTTCTGGTTCACTTTCATCGCTGGGTTGAGCCGCCGTGGCCTCCGGACGGATCCGCTTACAGGCCAGAAGCAGCGCGTCCGCTGGATCAGTACCTCTCTTCCTCTTCACCCGCAGAATGGTCGTGCTCGGGTCCATTTCGGTAAAGACACGTCTGTTGTGTCACCACGGAGAGATTTCAGATGGCAGACAAACAAATACACGAGCCAGCCAGTGACAACAACAACCTGCGCTTGCTTGCTGCCTGCCTTTCTTCCTTTTCACTCGTTTTTTTCTCGTTTGGCGGTTTTATTGACCATAAAATTGAGGAACAGTAGCGCCACGCTGCGGCGTGGAGTTTCTTAAACGTAAAGGGTATCGGTGTGTCGCCATATTGTTGCAATTAACCGCCTGCAGAGGTCGCGGTTTAATTGGGTTTAATTAAAGGGTGACTTGAAATCCATTCGAAATCCTCGGATCGGCTACTGTTTTTAACAACTTAACATAATATATTATCCTCGGGTATTTTATCAATCAAAGCCTTTTCTGACTTTTAGGAACACTTTAATGAAAAAATATAATATGTCTACATTATAAGTACATGATTATAAAATATTTATAATGATTTCATAACGAAGTCTCTCATATTGGCAGAGTTAGTATACGTTTTTTTTTTCACATCATATGAAAATATTGGGGGTTTGTTGGTGTGTAATTACAAAATAAAAAAAAAATGTAATTATGAAACTCAATATCAAAAATTGACACTAACACATATTATAGCCTACTAAAATTCACTTGGCTGACCATTAGACTACATCTTTATTACAGGACAGGCTACTGTAATTTTTGTTTCGTTTGATGAAACATTGTCAACCAGGCTAGCCTATATGAATTTGTGCTCTTTTAAAGGTGAACCACACAAATGTTAACACTATAAATAACTATATTGTAATGTACTATACTAGCATAGCTTTGAGTTAAAAAAAAATTCTATACCACATTTCCTTTGTCCTATTTTATTTTGTGAAATTCAAATCGATTCAATCCACAAGGCTCTTGGAGATCAATAAAAGAAACACTTCTGTGTGAATGCGCTTACACCCCCATCCCCCGACTTAGATTCATGGAGAGAGACAGAAAAGGCCCTTTTTCACACACACACACACACACACACACACACACACACACACACACACGCACACGGGCGCGCGCTCACTCTCTTGCACACATCTTCTGTTGAAGCGCTCACAAGCGCGAAGCCACTGACAAAGTGCGGATGAAAATGAGTGGGATACTCGTGTTTGAGTAAATGCGTGTTATTGAGTTCGACTCTAAACTCTGAACTGGTCACTATGGGAGCTGTTTGGACTGCACGACTCCTCTGTTTGTTTTTGCTCTTGTTAAATACTCGCCAAAGCGCCGCACTTCTTCACAACACTGGTAAGAGTCTTCACTTTGTTACACGCGATGCTGTAAACACGCAACTTGTTTACCTCCCCTTGTTTTGATACCCTGTTTCTTTACTTTTAGTTCAGCACTAAAACACATATTTTAGAATACGTGTTAATGATTTTCTTGACATTTCATTTCATGTTTTTTTGCGAAACACTTTACATTATGTGTTTGTGTTTTACACACGCTACTGTAATCACTATAGTCAGTACAATTACAAAGTTTATTTTCAAGCGACACCACAAATAATTAAACATTTACTAGTTCATTATCACACTGCAAAGGAAACATTAATATAACGTAGTGAGCAATGGTTATTACTGTAAAGTCTCATGTTACATTTGTGATACACAGATTCAGATCAATGTGCAGAGGGAAGCGATGCCTGTCACATTGATGCTATTTGTCAAAATACTCCA